ATAAAACATTCTCTCCAAAACGGCAGAATACATATTTTTCTCTAGTGCACATGGAACATTCTTCAGGATATACCATATGTGAGGTCACAGGACAATCCTTAATAAATAAAAAAACAAAAAACTGAAATCATATAAAATATCTTCTCTGATCACAGTGGAATGAAGCCAGAAACAAAGAAAAAGGAAAAGTGGAAAATTCACACATTTATGGAAATTAAACAATAGACTCTTAAACAACCAATGGGTCAGAGAACACTCGGCAAGGACAGTTAGTTAGGCTGCCAGAGGAATGGGAACGAAAGCTCCACCCAGTAGGAGGACGTGCCTCAGAGTAGAGCTCAGGGGCGCTTGCATAGCTGTTACCACTCAGATTGAGATTTACAAACCTCAGATCAATAACCTAATATTCTACCTTAGGAAACTAGAAGAAAAGAGCAAACTAATCCCAAAGCAAGAAGATACCAAAAATAATAAAGAATAAAGATTAACAAAATAGAGACCAGAAAAACAATAGAGAAAATTAGCAAAACCAGAAGTTGGCTCTAAAAAATTTTTTAATTTATTGATTTGAGAGAGAGGGACAGAGACATTATTTTTGTTGTTCCACTTATTTATGTATTCATTGGCTGCTTCTTGTAAGATCAAACCCATAACCTTGATGTACTGGGACGACACTCTAACCAACCAAGCATCTGGCCAGGGCTTAGAAATTGGTTCTTTAAAAGGTACAACAAAATTCACAAACCTTTACCGAGACTAAGAAAAAAAAAGAGAAGATTTAATTAACTAAAATCATAAATGAAAGTGGGGACATCACTACCAACTTTACAGAAACGGAAGAATTATAAAAGAGAAAACTATGAACAAGTGTATACCAACAAATTAGATCTCTTAGATTAAATAAAGAATTCCTAGAAACACACAGTATTTCCAAAACTGACTCAAGAAACACAAAATCTGAACATACTCATAACAGTAAAGAGAGTGACTCAATAATCAAAACCTCAAAAAATAAACAAAAAAGCTCAGGATCAGATGGTTTTAGTGACAAATTCTACCAATTGTTTAATTGAGAATTAACACCAATCCTTCTTTTTTGTTTTTTTGAGTGCCTGGAAACCCCCTGGGACCGACGGCCCAATCATTCTTAAACCCTTCCAAAAAAACAGAAGACGGAAGAACAGTTCCTAACTCATTCGGAGACCAGCATTACCTTGGTACCAACCAAATTCGGACAAAGATATCATAAGAAAAAACAAAACAAAACAAGACAAAACTACACAGCAGCATCACTTATGAATACATCTGTAAAAATTCTCAGCAAAATAATCCCAATAAGCATATGAAGAGGGTTATACATTATGACCAAGGGATTTCATCCCAGGAAGGTGAGGGTTGCTCAGTATACAGAAATGAATCAATCTAACATACCACATTAACTGAATCAAGGAAAAATAAACATGTTCACCTCAATTGATGCAGAAATGCACTTAACAAAATCTAACATCTTTTCATAAGAAAAACAATTAAACTGGGAGTAGAAGGTAAGTGGTAAAAAATTAATTTTACTGTGAAGAGGTCTGGCTTCTGCCTCCATGCAGGTGGCCTCCAGGCCCTGCAGTGCAGTGTCTTTGTCCCGGGGGTATGGCACAGGACGGTGTACAGTGTGAGAGAGTAGAGGTAGCAGTGTAGACCTCAGGAAGGGCTGGAAACCAAAGGCCAGCCACCAGGCAGGCAGCACGGGACTGAACAGTGAGAAAAATATTTAAAAATACTCTATTTTTAAAGTCTGAGGAGATAATGACTGGAAGCTCCACGTTTGGACCTCTCTCAGATTCTGCCCAATGCGGCACCTCCTTTGGTTGGTTCTGATCTGTACCCGTCTGCCGGAAGACCACAGACCACAGTCATCATGAGCGCAATGCTGTCAGGGCTCTGTGAGCCATTCTGATGCTTTACCAAAGCTCAGAGAAGTTGTGGGGACCCCAGATCTGCAGCCAGTGAGGGCAGTCCTGGGAGCCTGGGGCTGGCATCTGACGTGGGGGCAGTCCTGGGAGCCTGGGGCTGGTATCTGACGTGGGGGCAGGCCTGGGGGCCTGGGGCTGGCATCTGACGTGGGGGCAGTCCTGGGAGCCTGGGGCTGGCATCTGATGTGGGGGCAGTCCTGGGAGCCTGGGGCTGGCATCTGACGTGGGGGCAGCCCTGGGAGCCTGGGGCTGGCATCTGACGTGGGGGCAGTCCTGGGAGCCTGGGGCTGGCATCTGACGTGGGGGCAGCCCTGGGAGCCTGGGGCTGGCATCTGACGTGGGGGCAGGCCTGGGAGCCTGGGGCTGGCATCTGACGTGGGGGCAGTCCTGGGAGCCTGGGGCTGGCATCTGACGTGGGGGCAGCCCTGGGAGCCTGGGGCTGGCATCTGACGTGGGGGCAGCCCTGGGAGCCTGGGGCTGGCATCTGACGTGGGGGCAGGCCTGGGGGCCTGGGGCTGGCATCTGACGTGGGGGCAGGCCTGGGGGCCTGGGGCTGGCATCTGACGTGGGGGCAGCCCTGCGGGTCTGTGCCCTCTGCCTGTCTAATGAGATGAGCCCAATGCAAAAGGGAACCCCCTCAAACAGGGAAGAGCGTTCATGACGACCCACAGCGCATATCATACTTGGGATCAAGAACAGGACAAAGATTCCCACTTCTAGTCAACACTTTACTGCAAGTTTTAGCCAGAGCAACTAGGCAAAACACAAACGTCCAACAAAAACACAAATTGGAAGGAAAGAAGTCAAACAATGGTAAAAATGAGATGATCTTACAAAGACAAAATTGTAAAAAAAATTCCACCAACCCTATTAGAACCAATTAAGCAAAGTTGCACGATATAACATCAACATCAACAAAGGTAAGCTGTGCTTCTGTACCCTAGCAATGGACAAACTAAAAGGAAAATTAAGAAAACAATTTCATTTATAATAGCTTCCAAAAGACTAAAATATCTAGGAAATATCTGACTAAGGAGGTGAAAGACTTGCACATTGCAAACCATAAAATGTTGCTGAGAGACATTTAAGATCTGTGTTGTAGACTGCACCATGTGTCTCCCCAACCCGAATTCACATGTGGAAGCCCTCACCCCTCCAGCGGCTGTACTTGGATACAGAGCCCTTATGGAGGTAATTAAGGTTAAGTGAGGTCATAAGGATGGCACCCTAATCCAAGATCAGTGATGTCTTTTTAAGAGAGAAAGATACCAGCGCTTGCACATGTGTCCCCAAACCCACCTCCTCCCTGGAACAGAGGTCTCAACAGAAATTGAATTTGCTGGTCACGGACTTCTAGCCTCCAAAATTGTGAGAAAATAAATTCCTGTTGTTTAAGCCACTCAGTCTATAGTATTTTGTTGTGGAGCCCAAGCAGACTAATATAATCTAGGTAAATGGAAAGACACCCGGGATTCATGAGTTGGAATACTAAGTAGAGTTAAGATGGCAAAAATACCCAATCTATAGATTCAATGAAATCCTTACAAAAATCCCAACAGCCTTTCTGCAGTAATGGAAAAGCTGATACTCAAATTCATACAAAATCACAAGGGGCCCTGAATAGTCTAAGTAATGCTAGAAACAAAAAAGAACAAGTTAAAGGACTCATGCTTTCCCATTTTAAAACTTACTACAAAGTTACAGTGACCAAAATCATGTGGTACTGGTACAAGGACAGATACACAAACCCATGGAATAGAACTAAGAGTGCTAATAAAACAATACATGGTCGATTTTCAACTAGGAGGCCAAGACCATTCAACTGCGAAGCAATTGTCTCTTTAATCAAGTGCTGGAACAACTGGATTTCCACAAGCAAAAGAATGAAGTTCACTCCTACCTCACACCATACATAAAAATTAACTCAAAACGGGTCAAAGATATAAACATAAGAGCAGAAACCATAAAACTCTGAGAAGAAAACACAAGTGTAAATCTTAATGACTTTGCATTTGACAATGACTTTTTATGTATGACACCAAAAGAAAAGCAACCAAGGACAAAATAGATCAGCTGAATTTCGTGAAAATTAGAAACTTTTGTGCAAAGCATATCAAGAAAGTGAAAAGACAACATATAAAATGGGAGAAAATGTTTACAAATCACATATCTGATAAGGATCCAATATCTGAAATATACAAGAACTCCTACAACTCAATAATAAAAAGGAAAACAACCTAACTAGAAAATAGGTCAAGAGGTGAATAGAAATTTCTCCCCAAATGATATTCAAATGGCCACAAGCACATGAAAAAACGCTCAACATCAGTAGTCATTAGGGAAATGCAAATCAAAACCACGACGAGATACCACTTCATATACACTTGGATGGTTAGAATGAAAAAGTCAGTAGGCATTGGCAAAAATGTAGAGAAATTAGATCCCAGTCATAAATTGTTACGAGGAATGTAGAATGGTATAGCCACTGTGGAAAGCAGTCAGTGGTCCCTCAGAAAGTTAAAGATAGACTTATCATACTGCCCAGCAATTCCACTCCCTGGTAGATGCCCTTGAGAATTAAAAACAGGAACTCAAACAAATGCTTGTTCATGAACAAAATGTACATAAAATGTAAATACATAAAAAAGAACATTAGTCATAGAAAAGAATGAACTATCGATACATGCTACAACATGGATGAACCTGAAACCATTATGCTAAGTTAAAGAAGCCAGACACAAAGGTCACATAATCATATGATTCCAAGTATATAAAATCCAGAAGGGGTAGTAAATCCATACACACAGAAAGCAGACTGTTATGACGCCTGGGGAGAGAGGGGAATGAGTGACTGCTTAATTGGTATGAGATTTTCTTTTGGAGTAATGAAAATATTTTAAAATTTGATATTGGTGGTGGTTATACATTTTGTGAATGTACTAAATGTCATCAAATTGTACACTTTAAAATGGTTAAAATGAATTTCACCTCAATGATTAAAGAGAGATTCTGCTGATAGCTGTTTCTACTAACCCGGTGAATAATCCCAGCAGAGTGGAGGTGCTTGATGCCACACAGCATCTGGTAGAGAAGGTAGGACATTCTTTCGTGATCCAGCTCCATCTGGATCACCTGGCACAGGTTTGCATCCATGAGTTCCATGACGATGTAGCTGAGGGGAGAAAAGACAACAGCTGAAGCACACAGCAACGACCTGAGAATAAGGCCCTGACATAGAACTTGAATGATGGCACTTACACATCCTGAAATTCTTCTAGGGATTTCTGTGGTGTGAAAACATTCAAAAGGCCAATTATCTGCAGCAAAAGCAGAGAAATGAAGACATTAGAAACAGCTTCATAATACTTTCATTTGGGAACTGCAAATATATGGGTTAAAAAAATCCACAAATAGTTAAAACATTTTCAAATCTTATTTTCTAAATTCAAGTAATCTCTTTTCTTCTGTGCATCAGAGCTGCGAGGCCAGGGGTGGGGTGGGGAGGGAACCAGAGCACAGGACCTCAGGGCAGTGGAAACACTGTCTGTGATTCGGGAGTGGGGGGCACACGTCAGTGCACACTTGTCCACACCCACAAACCCACAGCATGCACACCACCAAGTGTGAACCGACTGTCAGCTGCGAGCTTTGGTGATGGGCATGTCAGTGTAGGTCTGCGACTGTACGAATGTACCACTCTGATGGGGGGTGCCGACAGCGGGGGAAGCTGTGTGTGTGGGGCAGGAGCCGTGTGGAAAATTTTGTACCTTCCACTCAATTCTGCTGTGAACCGAAAACTGCTTGAAAAAACAAGTCTGTAAAAACTGGAACAGAAGAGCTCCACAGTCCATTCCACTTATGACACTCGGCTATCAAGAACCTGCATTATATAACCCTCTCCACAATCTGAAGGCAGATCTCAAATCCCTTATGCCCGTTTATATCCAACACAGAACCTCTATATAATCTCAGCCCTTCCCCCCAGTTTTTCCTAATACCGCACCTTCCCAGTTTCACTCATTCCCTGTCTATTCCACTGGTCTACCCACAATGCCTTCTTTCCCACTATTATTCTCTAATCCTCCTCTTTTCTCTATCGGTACCCTTTCCCTAGGTGATATTATCCATGTATTTTTCTCCAAACTTCTCTACGTGGGTAATTTCCAAACATAAAATTAAAAATCCTTGCTTAGCTTATGAGTCTCATATATATATTGCAATTTCACAGGGAAGCCTCACATATAATATAAAATTGAACTCATTACCATGTGTTCTTGAATTCCTTACTTCCCAGAGTGCTTTCCCTTTTACAACAGAAGGCTCAGAGTGATTTTCACTCGTTTTTCAATATCTACACTGTGATGAGTACTTTAAAGAATGTTGTCCATTGTACTGAAAGTCTGAACTTCAACCACTTCTCTTCATTCATTGTGCTATACACAGGTCAAGGAATCTAGTACCACCGTTCATGCGACAACTTCTGACAGCAGGCTCCCTGACAGTGGCTTCCCTAAGTCTCGCCATCACTCTATGCCTATAGGACGGTGAAAGACAGATCTGACCATATTACGCACCTACTCAAACACTAATGCCAACAAGTGAATCCCAAACTCCCTTGCAGAACACACAATGCTCGCAGTGACAGGCCCTCAATCCACTCCACCTTCTGTTATCAACCCTTTGTCACACTCGATACTTTGGCCATGCTAAATTTAAATTTTTAAAAACTCTCAATGCCTTTACACATACTGTTTCATATGCTTGTCATGTACCTATCAAACTCACTTTCAAGATGAACCTCTGGGGAGTGTGACAACCCTTGTTGAGAGAGCTGAACAGTCTCTCTGCTTTGTCCCCACAGAATCTTGTATGTTATGATGGCATTTAACACTGTCATACGGTCTCACTTTCACAAAAGCCTTGTCTCGACCACACCACCGGGTTTCTTTTTGAGGTGATGAAAAAAGTCATACACATCAGTGAATAAACTAAAAGGCACTGACTTGATCAGATGAAATGGATGAGTAATGTACTGTATAAACTAGTTCGGTAAAGTTGTTACAAAATAAGACTGAAACAGCTGTCTGATTTTTCAAAAAAGAAATTATATCAATCATAAATGAGACAGCCAGATAAAAGTCAAGGACTGATTAAGTGGGTGGCATATGACTACTGTGAGAGAAGTAACAATTACCAGGAGCACGAGCAGGTAAAATTCATTGAGAAACTTTATCTTGTTTTGTGAACAAAAACAACAGCCCAGCCAGTGTGGCTCAGGGGTTGAGTGTGGACCGGTGAAGCAAGAGGTCGACAGTTCGATTCCCAGTCAGGGCACATGCCCAGGTTGTGGGCCCGATCCCCAGTGCGGGGCGTGCAGGAGGCGGCCAGTCGATGTTCTCTCTCATCCATGTTTCTATCTCTCTCTCCCTCTCTAAAATCAATAAAGAAAAACAACAACAACAACAAAGGACAACGGTAGTCAATCAGAGAAATGCAACCAGATATTTTATGTGAAGATTTCAAAAGGGCATTTTTAAAAAATGTCTCTGATAATAATCTCCATGTAAATAATAACTACAATGAACGGGGCATGCTAGTGAATTTCACTCAGACATTATTGTACAGGAGCCCTAAAGGCTGCTGATGCACGGAGCCAGCCGTCGTGAAGCGCCCTGCGCGGGGCGGGATGGAGTCAAGGGGAAGGCAGTGCGGAGGAAGCTGTCCAGGAAGAGGGACCGAATTTACCAGTGATATTTAACAGGAAGAAATAAAAATATTACACTTTTTCTCCAAAACAAACAGACAAAAAACCGAAAAGGAAAGTAAAGACTGGAAGATGTGAGGTGTTGGCAGGCCAGTAACAAAGAATAAGTTGCTTAGACCACGTCAGTCAAATGTTGACCTAATTTCCAAACAGGACGATGACAACAGCCACAGCTAGAGAACATGACCGCCTCAGTCCCTCTCAGAAGGTGCAGTGAGACATGCAGTGATGTGTTCCAGGTGCAGTGATGTGCTCCAGGTGCAGTGATGTGCTCCAGGCGACAGAGTAGTGCATTCAAAGAGAGGTGACTAAGTTGAAAAAGAAACTCAAAACCATGTATGAAAAGAGTGGGAAATTCACAGTCATACAAATGTACTTAATAAAATTTAAAAACGATTAAGATACTAAGTTTTATGTGATGTGCATTTTACCACAATAAAAGAAAAAAAGGAGTGGGAAAAGTCAGAGACATTTAGACCAATAAAGAGTTGGTATGTGTAGAACATGAAAATGTTGAAAAGGTGAGATATTACAAAAACATCCATCCATCCATCATGGAGTAAAAAAATTCCATTACCATTCCTGTTTTCCTTATATTTACTTTTTTAATCCTCACCTGGAATATGTTTTGATTGATTTTTTTTTTAAGAGAGAGAGTAAGGGGGCGAGAGAGAGAGGGAAACACTGACTGGTTGCCTCCCATACATGACCAGACCAAGGATGGAACCTGAAACCTAGGTATGTGCCCTGACTGGGAATAGAACCTGAACCCTTAGAGTGTATGGGACGATGCTCCAACCAACTGAACCAGCTGCCAGGCTCCTTATATTTACTCTTACTTTCATTCACTGGACAAATACGTTTGAGCGCTACTCTGCACCAGCACTGTCCTAGGTGGCAAGGTATAGTTTGGATGGCTCTGCACTGCCCCCTCTAGTGGTTAACCATGTGAAACAAACTTTCCATGCCCTTCATTTAGCTGGTGGAGCCACCTTTCTGTGCAGTTGCCCAGGCTCAAGAGGTAGGCAGGAGTTATTGGCCATCTCCTTCATGTGAAACTAAGGCAAGGACACCCCACCACTGTCACGAGACAGGCTACAAGTGGCACAAACAGCTCTATCCAAGTGCGGGAGGCCACCAGCAACAGGCCACACGCAACATGCCTGGCTCCCACCTAGAACAAGAGTGGATGACACAACTTCCCCATCACTGACTGTGTCTTTTATTAAATGCTAATTGTCCTCTCTGGAAGGTCCACTTTGTTCAACAATCCAATTTTTACCCCATTATCTAAGAATTAGTCTAGGTCCACCCTCCCCCAAAGCGTTTCTATTTCATTAAGGCTCAAAGAAATGTTCTCTCCTGAAATTTAAGCACTTATTTATTTTTCATCCATCATGACTTGACAATTAAACTTCTATTAAACCTTGACAATTAAAATTTAATGTTTGGTCTTTAACTCTTTACATATTTGTTTTGTCTTCAAATTAACACTGTAAACTCCCCAAATAAGGAATCTAACGCTTAACTTCCATAAAAATGTCTCCTTGGTAACTAATCTAATAACTACAATACAAAGAGGCTTGCACATAGTTAACTCTCAAAATTTGGTAAATTGTGGTTATCTGCAATCAGAAAGCACTGAGCTGATGATATTTTATGAAGTCCTTTGGACAAACACCACAAAACATCTCAGGTGAGATCCTTTCGGTTTAGTAGTTCATAAAAATGTCCCTTGCACAATTAAATCCCACTTTATTTCCTCTCAACATGGAGACAGCATTCTATTAAAATAATTATAAAAGTATCAGTATGCTTAATGTAAGCTTTAAAAAGTATAACTACTGCCCTGGCTGATTTTGCTCAGTGGTTAGAGTCTCGGCCCACGGTCCCGAGAGACCCGGGTTCGGTTTCCATGTACCTTGGTTGCGGTTTGTCCCCGGCCCTGGTTGGGTCATGCGGGTGGCAGCACTCGATGTGTCCCTTTCACATCGATGTTTCTCTCTCTCCCCCTCCTACTCTAATCTGAACAAAAAAATGGAAAAATGTCCTCGTGTGAGGATTTAAAAAAAATATATATATAACTACTTATTCTCAAAATGAGTGAAAGCTATTTGTTAAGTCCTTATAACCATTAGGAAATAGAATCGGGATGTTTTTCTAATTCTATTTGAATATTTTTAAAGTTTCTGCTGAGCTGCTTTATAATCACGGGCTGCCCCAAGACGAGGTGCCCAGTGAGTATTAGCATCACCTGCAGAGAAGACAGGGAGTTGGGAGGCAGGATCTGAATTCACACACAGTGCTGGTCAAAAAGTTGCAGTGTCGAAGAACAATGGGAACCATCTCCACTAAGGCTCATTTCCTGACAGAAACCAAAAAGCGGAAGATGAGGTGGAACCTGAATAAAGTTCTTCCAAAACAGTCCTTTTGCCAATTAAATGTCAGAAAACTATACAATCTGAATCTCAGAAGCTGATTTTCTTTTAATATAATTTAATAAAGTTGAGAAAAAATTCACACTATTGATACACAAACCTTTTATTTTTTATTGATTTTTTAGAGAAGGGAGAGAGAGAGAGAGAGAGAGAGAGACACCGATTGGCCTGACCAGGTATCGAATCTGAAACCTGGTTATGTGTCCTGACTGGCAATCGAACCCAAGACCCTTCAGTGCACCAGAAAATGCCCCAACCAACCGAGCCACACTGGCCAGGGAGATATATAAACCTTTTAAACAATGTTTCATACCAAAAGAACAATTTAAAGCATCTAATATTTTTAAAGTTTTGATATTTATGTATTCATCAGAAAAATCTTTATTTCATCTATACTTAAGAAACTTTCTAAAATGTTCACTTACGTTTTTGTGATTAACACATTTCATAAGAACCAGCTCTCTGTAAGCCCGCTTAGCGTGGGTTTGATTCTGAAATGGCCGGCTTAGCTTCTTGATTGCAACATTTCTTTCAAGAATGGCATCATAAGCTGCACTGTAATAAAAATTAAAAAACAACAAAAACTTACTGAAAAATCTGCAAAGCTGAATTTATAAAAGATTCATTCAGATTCCTCGTTTTCTCCAGTTTCCAGTCTCTGATGATCAACATGTTTCTTCTATACCTACTGCCTCGTAGTCCAAACAATGCAGAGTATTAACTGCTTCTTATAATGCTAGTGGATTCACAGACAGTGGATTATGACTGTGAAGACAGAGATTCTGCTTATTCATTGGGCTCCTCTGAGACCCACCTAGAATACAAATGGGCACTCAATGCACAGATTTTTAATGAGTGTTCAGGTCCAGTGAGCCATTCACCTTGCACCTACACCAAGGAAAGAGACCAAAGAATACATGTGGTCATAAATTCTGATCAAAATATTTGCTAAAGAATTTGTCTAAATACACCACTTCCATCCTTTTTGGACACAAGATAAATACAGAAAGAGGAAGGGACATACAGAGATACCTATATAAAAGATTATTTTATTAAACATAAAGTAAGCCTTAACATTTGTTTTAGAGGGAGAATTAAAAAGCAAAGTGTTTATAAAGATGAATGCTAGATTTCAGGACATCAGAAGCTGCTTTATAATTGTTAATGAAACTCCTAAAATTCTGGGAAATACAACGTCATTCTTCACATCCTCCTCTCTCGAATGACACTGACCAAATGGCACCTGACGCCCATGACAGGTGAGAGAAACTCAAGCACAAGTAAGGGAAAGTGTTTTAAAATTATGGAATATTGTAACTGAAAGAAACTTTAAAATCCTTTGCATTCACCTCTGCCTGATTTAAGGCCAGAGGTTTAGGGAATCTGCCCAAGGTAAGCCAGAAAGTTAAAAGCAAAGCTAAGACTAGAAGACCAAGACATGAGGTTATATCCTTCACCATGGACCACCTAACGTACCATAAAAGACTACTACCGTTCATTCGACATTTGAAGTCAGCAGACTACCGATTAAAATAATTCCCTCACCTAACTGGAAACCTGAGTTTGTTTTATAGCTTTCTTATGGACTACATTGTAGAAATATCTGTATTAAGAAATTGGTAGTATATAAATGAACACACCTGTACATTCTCTCTGTAACTAGTGCCTATTCCATATACAGGGCAGGGCAAAAGTAGGCTCACAGTTGTTTGTAGGGAAAATATGACATAATTAATAAATAATACATGAATAAACTCCTTGTTTTGTGTATTCACAATTGTAAACCTACTTTTGCCCACCCTGCATATACACACATATACCAAAATATACATAAGTATTATAATCTTTACTTAGAAAATGCCATATTTACAGATATGTCCCTCCTAAATTAAGAAAAAAATCAAACATTAGGGGTCATGCAATATGAACCAGAGTTTTGACTATTTCAGATAATATACATTTTATTTTTAACCATTAAATTCACTCTTATTAATTTTTATCTGCTAAATCAAAATAATATTTCCAACTCTAAAATTATAAAATATCCGAGTAGGCTATACTATTCTATAACCAAGGAAACTAGATTCATAACTGTCAGTCAGTAAACAAGCACAGATCAGAAACGCTGGGGACCCAGAGGTCCCATCCAGGCCCCATGATCTCACTGTCTAGGACTGGAGCCCAAAATAATGACTTTAAAAAAAAAAAAAAAAATTAAGTTCTGTTGATTCTGATAGTAACACAACACTGAGTTTAAATTTATTTAATATTTGTTTGTTTCATAGCAATATTTTATTAAAGAAAAAGCAAAAATTTGAAGATAGTTTTTCCTTATGATAGGGGCTGTTAAGATGGCTTAGAGTCCCTTCCAAGGCAATTTTTTTAAAACTCTGGTAAACAAATTTTAAAATATTCCCACCTAAGGATAAGTGAAAGTACAGAAACATTAATATATTTTCAAACAATATTAATTTATTTGTAGTTGGTTAAAATGACAACTAGCCAGCCATAAATGCTTTACAAAATAACTCAACTTCTATACTTTTGATATTATATATTACTTCAAGAACACAGAAAAGAGAATGTTAGTGTTCCCATTACACAAACTAACAGATTTTAATATTTTTCTATAATTGCTCTGATTTCAAAAAATAAATATTATAGGTAAAGCCCCCTTCCTTCTCTGTATTCTTTGAGGCTAATACTATCCTGAGTCTGTTGTTTTGAATGTTTTTATACATTTCTACATACGTATGCACCCATAAATATATGGTATTGTTAGCTTATTTTAACCTGTATAAATCTATACATAATGTAAGTATATTTTGTATCTATTTTCTTAAAATATGTTTTTACTGATTTCAGAGAGAGGAAGGGAAAGGGATAGAGAGACAGGAACATTTATGTGAGAAACATCAGTCAGCCGCCTCCTGCACGCCCCCTACTGGGGATCAAGCCTGAAACATGTGCCTCGACCAGGAATCCAACCAGGACCTCCAGGTGCACGGTGCCTCCAGGTGCACGGTGCCTCCAGGTGCACGGTGCCTCCAGGTGCACGGTACTTCCCTCGACCAACTGAGCCCCGCCAGCTCGGTTGCCTCTGGCTTAAACTCAATGCTGCAATTCCGAGATTACTCTTGTTGACACATACAGCTCTAGCCCATTAAAAATGTTGTACAGTATTTCACTACATGAATATATCATGTTTTAATTCTCCTCTTGACTGATTTGATGTTGCTCTATGAACAGTACTGCCAAGAGCAGCCTACAAATTTCTCTTCTTGTACATGTGCGAGAGTTTTTCTAGAACGGGGAGAACTACAGGGTCATAAACACTAATTTTAAAATAGATTCTAAAACTAGTATGGTTCTCAAAAAGAGGTAATACAGATATAATTGTGCTTGAGTGAGGCTTAGAAAATGTCCCCAAACACTTGTTATTGTGCTAACTTGGTAATTTAAAACCATAAGCAGGGCTGCCTTTCAGTTTATAAGGAATGATGTTGATATATAAAGTCTAGGCCTTTTGTAGAAAATAGCTTGCAAATCAATTTTATTTATTTATTTATTTTTAATCCTCACCCGAGGACATTTTTCCATTTTTTGTTCAAATAGAGTGGGAGGGAGAGAGAGAGAGAAACATCGATGTGAAAGGGACACATCGAGTGGCTGCCACCCAAAGGACCCAACCAGGGCCGGGGACAAACTGCAACCGAGGTACGCGCCCTTAGCGGGAACTGAACCCGGGTCTCTCTGGACCATAGGCCGACGCTCTAACCGCTGAGCCAAACTGGCCAGGGTGCTTGTAAATCAATTTTAAAAATACATAACGGTTCTGAAACACACAGGTGAGCGATGTAGCTGACTCAGCCCCAGTGTAAGATAAGGGTCTGAAGCTCCAGTCTCACTGCGTGGGCAGCGGAGATTGAGTGAAGCTTCTTGGTGAGCAGTGAACTATGGGGAGGGATGTGCACAGGAATGAAGAGGCACCCACTCACTCTCTCCTGATACAGGTATCTGTCCCTACATGGCTTATAACCGAGCATTCAATCATCATTTATCCTTAAAGATGGCAGTGCTGACTTATGGTTATGTTTTACGAATAATAAAGACCATTAATCCCTGAACAAAACAGTTTACTGTGTCCACAGCTTTAATTTAAATTTCATAGTTTTAATTAAATTTTTTTGAGGCAAATTAAATTTTTACACCAAGGTATCTGTATTACTAGAGGAGAAAGGAACAGCAGTTAATGGTTGTTTGGCTAATTTTTGGAAGTAAAAACTTACCATACTATTCCTTGAGCTCCGGAGCCTATCGGTTTTAAATTCTGATATCGTTTCAGGACTGTGAATGTAGAATCTCCAATCTCTACACTATAAAAATTGCTGTCACGCTTACTTCTGCTCATGATGGCAAGCAATTAATTTAATGGCTTCATCCAAAAATTCACCGAGAAGCTGCAAAATGAAACAAAATGTACTGTTAACACAATGAATTTGTGCAGTCTTAAAATTCAAGTTCTCACTTTGTTCACTAATAGCAACATTAATTGCTAGATCATGTTAAAAGGGCTGCTTCATTAAAAAACACAATTAGAAAGAAAAAATATCACAGAGCCTGGTTAGCATCTGCTATACTAAAGGAAACAACCGGTAGTTTAAAAAACAAACAAACAAACTTTCATTAGAATAAACAGTTTCTCCAATCTAGAAGTCACTGGTATTATCATGTAAATATGTCTTAACTTACTAAAAAATGGGGTGGGGGGTGGGGAACACGGCTGGGCAAATAATTAAAACTCAACATATTTTTTCCAAGATCACTTCCACGTGTAGAGCTGAGACCAGCCCTTCTGTGTGTTCATCACAGCACCGAGAGCCAAGCTCCTGTGAGAAGCCCATGAACTCCGGTCAGAAGGAGCCCACCCCTCGTGTGCACGTGCGGAGACGCTAGCAGCACCACCACCTCACACAGGCATGCACAGCGCTGTCACCCCCACCCCGCCCCAGCCCTGGCCACACAGCAACTGTTACGCACAGGCATCTCGTCACCCACGCCCAGTCTGTTCCTGACACAGGGCTGGGAAGAGATTTGGGGGCACAGGTCACTATGTTCTATTATTTTAAATGGAAAAAAAAAAAAAATGTCTCCTCTCATCCAAGAACTTCAACCAACTACTCAAGCACACAAAAATCCAAGGATCTGTATCATAGAAAGCATTTAAGACATCAATTATCTGATCATTTGTCAGTGAACGAACTGGTGGGCATATCTGTGTAGAATACACAACAACAGCACGCAGTATTAGATAAAAAGGGCCCCTTGCTTCAGTGGACTTGTTATGGAGTGAAAGGTGCTGAAATAACGTCTGAAGGAAGACACATAATGAGTTAACGTTTAGTAAACACAGGCAACAAAGCCTTAAAAAGTCATAAAGATTGAGAGAGGTAAAAAAATAAGAAGATATATTATTTTAAAAATGAGAAAATATGAGAGAGTGGAGCATTTAGTATGTTAGGCTGTAAGACAAAACAATACTGTTCTGAACTGTCTGGGGCATCAAAAGCATGACCTGAGTTCTGGCCACAGCCCTTCACCACCTGATTAAAAGCCAAGGCAGCCTTATTCTACCCATGCGAGTACTGATTATTAATAAACCTATTACCCAGCCCTCTTGACCACAGGGGCCTATTACAAAAGGCATGAGCAAGATCACTCCAGTCCTACTCCCCACACACAAGAAACCAGTGAGGTCTACAGAATGGCTGGGGATGGGTGTGTGTGTGTGTGTGTGACGGTGCTAACAAAACAAAATGATATCCTGATAAGACTTACAAGACAAAGAATTAATTCAGCAAGCATGAAGTGCTACCACGCAGCGGCTCCTGAGCTGGGTTCTAACAGCTGCCTTCTCAGAGAAGGGGAGCGGCGGAAGGAGCTAGAAGAGGAGAAAACTAGTGAGCGACTGCAGAATCCAGATGAAAGAGAACATCATGACTGATGAGGACTCCTAGGTGTGATGAAAGTAAAAATAAAGAAAAACTAAACACAAATGTCCAAACAATAGAAGCTTTAAAAAAGAAAATTGAAAGCAACTGAGAGGTTGGATAAATTAAAGCAAGACCCAGCGAAACTTTTCCAAGATCAGTAACTAAGCTGGTCACATAATACTCCCCAAGAGGACGGCCTGAAGTGGCCCGTCTCACACATTCTGCCTAAGCAGACAGACCACAGGCTTCAAGGAAAGAGTTTGGTAATTATTCAAACACTCAGCTATGCTCACAGGCTGATCCAATACAGGTGCTGGTCATCCAGAGGCATCTCCTACTTCACCTTGAATTCCCTCCTTGCCGACCAGAGCAGGGGGCAGGGAGGAGGGGGCCAGGGAGGAGGAGTGGAGGCAAGTGTGGGGTGTCGGGTCCTTCAGCAAACATTCCACATATTCACCCCGGAAATGGGTTTGCCCAGGGCCTGGAGACAACAAGAACGGTCTCCAGGGACCTGCACGTGTGCTCAGAGGTGAGCACAGAGCTGGCGTGCGTGAACCCGGAGGAGTCAAACTGTGTGCAGACAAGGTTTTCTAAGCTTTCAGGGAAGGCGCTCTCCTCTCAGGAGAACGAGAACCAGGACAGAAAGGTACTTGTGCTTCACAGGAGTTTACTTATTGTTACCAAAGCAGGGAACAAAAAGGCTGTTTCAGTTTCCCAACTTGCTGGCGGAAAAAGAAACTTAGTGGATCCAGGATCACACACAGGACAGGCTTCCCCATCTGTTAAGAGTAACAAGAGCAAGAACAGGCTTCTCTCCGTCCTCAAAGGGGGCTCCGTCCTAGCAGGAGTGGGATCCATGGTGCTCACACAGAAGTCTGCACAGAGCTGAGCAGCTGTGACAGAGCTGAGCAGTGACAGCCACCACAATGCTCAGGCACAGTGTCGAGGCAGCAGAGGGAGGACCCAAGATGAAGTGAGCAGCCCCAGCCTCTGGTGCCCTGCTCAGTGAGTCGCCACTCCTAGGAACAGGAGACAGAGGACTCACTGAAGCCCCGCTGTGTAATGTTTTCTGCTGTGTGAGTCTAGCTCTACACTAGATGCTGGGCGTGTGAGCACAGCAGTGATCAGCATCTGGCCCCTCACAGAGCTTGCAGTTAAGACAGAGAGAGACATTAGTTGTTTGTAACTGCCCGACTGTAACTACGGCTTGATAAGAGCAGTGAGGGGAAATGGAAGCAAGCCCATACTAGTCTGGGCTCAGGAATAGATTCTTTCCCCTAATGATGTTAACGTTTGCGCAAGATCTGAACATGAATATGAGTTAGCCAGGCAGGGACAGAAAAGAGTTTCTAGGTAGAACAACACATACAAAGGCTCGACAATATTCACCAACTTTAACAGTACAATAGATGAGTTTTGATAAATGTATACAAGCGTGTAGCCACCATTAAAATCATGATATAAAATATTTCTACTACTGCAAAAAGTTCCCTGTATGGTCAGTCCCTGTCCTCTGCTCCTAACCTGCCCCTGGCAACCAAAGAACAGCCTAGTTGTGCCTTTTCCTGATATTGATACAAATAAAATCGCACACACAGCTTACACTTTTTTTGTTTGGCTTCTTTCACTTGCCCTAATGCTTTTAAGTCACTTGTGCTGCATTCCCTTTTGTTACTGAGTGGTATTCCACCGTGAGCACATCCCCTCTGGACACGTGGACAGTTTCCAGTTCTGTGCTTATCATAAATGATGCCAGTGTAAACACACACTTTTTCCTTTCATTTTGGGTAAATACTTAACAGTAGGATATGCAAGTCCTCTGTTTACCTTTATAAGAAACTGTCAAACTGTTTTCCAAAGTGACCATGCCATTGTCAATCCTACAAGTAATGCATGAGCTTCCAGTTGTGCCATATTATTGTGGTCATTTCATTTACAGTAGTGAGTGGGTATTAGTATTTCATTGTGGCTTACATTTGCTAATAACTAATAATGCTGAGCATCTTATATGGGCTTATATGTTTATATTTATATATTTAGTGAAGTAGCTAATTAATTCTCTTGCCCATATTATCTTCTTGTTACTCAACTATAATATTCATATATCCTGGATACACATCCTTTATCAGATGTTTTGCAAATATTCCCAGTATGTGTGGCTGGACTTTCCATTTTCTTAACCGTGTATTTTTAAAAAGCTTTTTACTTTGAAATAATTTTAGCCTCACATACAAGTTACAACAGCAGTCCAGACTTCTGGGTATTCTTCACCCAATGACAGTTCTGACATAACGACAGTACCATTATCAAAATGAGAAAGTCTGCATTGGTTCAATACCATAAGCAACTTCATTCAGATTGTATGAGTTGTTACACAGGCTGATTTTGTGTGCCTGTTTCTGTGTAAATGGATCACATGCACACATTAATGGGACTTCTACCATAGTCAGGACACAAGAGCTGTTTGATCACCCCAAAGAGACCTTCATGCTACCTCTGGATAATCAAATACTCCTGCCAACCTTACCTTGGCAATTATGTTTCTGTCACTATAATTTTTTCAATTGAAATTTTTATATAAATGAAATTATATAATGTGTAATCTTTTGAGACTGTGTTTTTCACCCAGTATAATGCCCTTGAGATCCTCCAGATTGGTGGTGTATCAGTAGTTTGTTCTTTTTCTTACTGAGTATCATTCTGGTGCCTGAATGTAGTATGCTATTCATTCACCTGTCATTTTGGCCATTACAAATAAAGCTATTTACCATGAACCTGTCTACAGATTCTTGTTTGAAAATAAGCTTTAATTTCTTTCGGGTAAATATCCAGGAGAAGGGTATGGCAACTGCATGCTTACGTTATAAAAACGGGCACACTCTTTCCAAGAGTGGCTGTACTCATTTTGCATTTCCTCTGGAAATGCATGGACAGTCTCGTTCCTCCACATCCAATCAGCTCTTATTCAAGACAATCCTTATTTTAGCCATTCTAGTAGGTGTGTAGTATTTCATCAGGGCTTTAATATTTTGTATTTCTCTAATGGATAATAACATTAAACATCTTTTAATGTACTTTTTGGCATCTGTACATGTATATTATTTGGTGACGTGTTTGTTCAAGTGTTTTGCCCATTTTCTAAATACATTATTTGATCTCTTATTGTTAAGTTTAGAGAGTTTATATGTTCTGGACACACATCCTTTGTCAGACACAGAATTTGCAAACAACAGTTGACCCCTGAACGTGCATTTGAACTGTGCAGGTTCACGTACATATGGATTTTTTTTTCAATCAATACCTATACTGTTTTGGATCTGTAGTTAGATGGTCCTGAATACCAAAAAACAACTAAGTTTTTGCAGAGCCAAAAGTTATATGCTCCAGCCCTGGTCAGGAGGCACATACCAAAATGTTTTGGGTTCAATTCCTGGTTGGGGAGTGTAGGAGAGGCAACCTTTTGATCTCTCTCTCTACCTCTCTCTCTCTCCCCTTTCCTCTCTCTCTAAAATCAATGTAACATATCCTTGGCTGAGGATTAAAAAAAAAAAGTTATATGCTCTCAACCCCCACGTTGTTCAAGGGTCAACTGTATTTTCTCCCTGTTTATGGTTTATCTTTTCTTTTTAAAAAAATTTTTTTTCAGTTACAGTTGACATTTGATATTATTTTATATCAGGTGCAGGTATACAGCATGATGTTTAGATATTTATATAATTTATAAAGCGACGCCCCGATAGTCTAGTACCCACCTGGCAATACATTTTATTATTTTTGACTATATTCCCTATGTTGCACTTTATTTACATTCCTGGAACTACTTTAACTACCAATTTGCACTTCTTTTTTTTTTTTTTTTTGTGGATGTAAAACTTTTATTCTTAAATTTCAAGAGTGGGATTAAGAGGATCAAAGTTTTGTCTGAGACTTGTTTAGGTTAGGTTGTTTGTTAAGAAAAAATAGAAATTATGATTGGTTTTTATTTTTCTCTAAGATATCTACTTGGAAAGTCCTGGCTCAGGAAGAGAACTTGAGCGTTTTTACCTTAGGTTTAGACATGAGAACTGGGAGCAGGAGTTTGTTGGCCCCTCCCCTTAATTCCTCTACATTGTAGTTTCTGTTGCTGCCTAAACTACATTAAAAGGCCACATGCTGCACTGTTACCAAATTGCCTGCATTTTACCCCATTTTCCTCTACAGTCTAAGATCATGTTCTCTAATTTCCCAAAGGTCCTATGTACCCCACAGGACTTTTTGTCTTTGGTGTTGATTTATATGTGAGTTTCCCTCGTGCACACATTAAGTGTGGAATTTATCCTGTTAATCTCATAATGTTTTTAAAAATTATTAGCCCAGCTCTTAGAGTTGACAAGGTGTGAGGAAAGTAATTACATTTTTCTTTAAACCACTCACAGTTCTCACAGTAATGGCTGAGACATTGCTGGCTTCTGGAACTGCTGATGCTGACAGGTCATGAACATCTGCCGGGACAGATGAGTCTCATTTTTGTTCACTTTCTTAGCCTTTTGGATCTATTGGTGCAGGGTTTGCACTTCTTAATACCTTCATCATTTCACCCAGTCCCCCAACACCTCTCCTATCTGGAACCAGCAATTTGTACTGGGTATTTATGAGTCTGTTTCTATTTTGTTAATTTTGTTCTCTAGATTCCACATGTAAGTGAAATCATATGGTATTGTCTTTCTCTGTCTATTTCACTTAACATACCACCCTCTAGGTGCACCCATGTTGTCATATACAGTAAGACTTTATTCTGTTTCATGGCTGAGTAATATTCCATTGTATATATGCACCACATTTTTATCCACTCGCCTACTGATGAACACCTGGGTTGCTTCCATAACCTGGCTACTGTATACTACGCTACAATGAACACAAGGGTACATATATCTTTCGAATTAGTGTTTTGATTTTTTTCAGAAATATACCCAGAAGTGGAATTGAGGACTCACAAGGTAGTTCCATTTTTAATTTTTGAGTAA